ATACCATTTGGTCTAAAAATGGGTATGTGGCGAGGGGAGTGCGATTACACAAATATTCATTCAGGTCAATGAGGGGAGTATTAACAAACTTTATTTATTTACTCTAGGCAACAAGAATTTCATACACAAAGTTTATTTACTCTTCTGTTATTGGACTATTACCAGAGAATTTATTAATAGCATATTTAGGATCGACCATCAAACAAATTACCGATATTACAAATGGTCACCAAACTGCATTTTCATCATATCAAAGAACTTTATTAATTATTGCAATCGTTGTAGCTGTCATTTTGACATTTATCAGCAAAAAGGTTTTAGGTTCTTCAAATCCTACAATCTTTAATCGTTCAACTATTTCAATTTCATCCTCAAACAATGTAATTGAATCTATAAATTCAAATAATAATCAAAAACAAATTGAATCTTCTAGAGATATTGTATTAGTAATCAAATCAAACTCAACCTCGTCATCCTCATTAACACCAAGTAATATTTCATCCTCTTCTTCCAGTTCTGATATAATTTCCTCAAAAGATTCACCTTATTCAATAAAAGTTAGAAAAGATTAAAAAATATTTTCTAATATACCTTACATGACAAAATAATAATTAATAATTATAATAATAATAATAATAATAATAATAATACCAATAGCTCAATAAAAATTAAAAGAATAATAATTTAACAATTATTATTTTGAATATTAATAGTAGTTTAAATTACAATAATCTATATAAATTATTGTAATAAAATTTTACAAAAACCAATAATTGTAAAAATAATTAAATAAATATATATTATATTTATAAGTTATACCTTTAGCTTATTTTTTAATTAAAAAAAAAAACAAAAAAACAAAAAAAAAAGAAAATTTTATTTTAGTAGATATCTTAATATATTATTTTTTATTTTTTAATTTTCAAAAAAAAAATTTAAAAGTAATAATTTTTTTATTATTACTTTTTTTTTTTATTTCTTTTTTTTTCCTTATTTTCTTTTTCTTTTATTTATTTATTTATTTTATTATGAATAACAGCAAAATAATATCGATATTCAATATAACAGGTATTCAAGGACTATCTTTATGTAACACCTTGTTAAACTCTAAGAAATATATAATCAAAGGATTTACAAAAGATATAGACTCGATCCAATCAAAAACATTAATTAAAAAAGGTGTAGAAATAGTGCAACTAAATTTTAAAAATGCAAAATTAGAATTATTAAACAAACATTTACATAATAGTCATGCAGTATTTTTAGATACAGATTACTTTAGTTTGGGCAATAATGAGGTTGAATTTGGAGTAAATGTGGTGGATGCTTGTATAGCCTCAAATATATCTCATCTTATATATAGTACCCTACCTTGCTCAAATTTAATTACAAAAGGAGTTTTAACATTAAATTCTTTTGATAACAAATATAAAATTGAACAATATATAAAGAGTAAAATAGATCAGATTAAATATATTTCATTTATATATATTCCGTTTGGATATCAAAATTTAATGCAATATTTCCCACCACTAAAAATAAACATTAAAAATTTTCAATATGACAACCACAAAAATTTCAATTTTTCAAATTGTTTAAACCCCTCAACAAAATCTGAAAAATATGATTACTTTGACTTTAGCTCAATGAACACTAGTATATTTAATATATTTAACACTGCAAATGAGCTTAGCTTTAATGGATTTAACAACTATAAAAAAATAAACTTTACAAATACAAAAATAAAATATAATACTAACATCAAAGACAACGAAGAATTCTTTTCAATACCACTACCTCTTAATGTAAACAATTCAATATATTTATGCGATAACGATGAAATTGGCACTTTAATATTTGAAATTATAGAAAAACCAAATGAATATAATAATAAATCAATCTTTTTATATGGGTCAATAATGAATGGTCACGAAATTTCAATATCACTAAGTAAAAAATTTAATAAAAATATTAAACACTTTTATATCCCAACAGAAATATTCCAACAATTTTTTAACTCAAATACTGAAATTTCAAATATATTTAATTTTATTAATCTATTTAATATTCAAATTAAAGAAAACATAAAAAACTCCGAAACTATTTCATTATTTAATTTTAAACCTTCAACATTTGATGATTATTTAAAAAAAGATAATATAGAAATAAAATCAATTAATTTGAATTAAAAACTAAAATTAAATCTTATTATTACTATATAAAGTAATATAATTTTAAATTTATTCTTTTTTGGTACCAAAATTTTTAAAAAAAAAATTTTGTTATTTTTATTTTTTTTATTTTTTTTTTTATTTTTATTTTTTCTTCATTTCAATTAATTTTAAATTTAAATTTAATTAAATTTTGAAAAAAATAAAATTCATTTTTTTTTTAATTTTTCATTGCTTTAAATTTATACTGTAATTATATAATTTTATTATATCATATATTTAAAATAAAATATGTCACAAAAAGTTGTTACTGTTTTCCCAGGTACAGGTAAACAAGGTAGTGCAGTTGTAAATGCATTGTTAAAAGATGGAAGATATAAAGTACGTGCATTAACTAGAACCCCAGATTCCGATACAGCCAAAGATTTAGTTAAAAGAGGTTGTCAAGTTGTTAGATGTGATATTAGCGACAGTCAAGATGAAATTGAAAAAACATTTAAAGGAAGTGATGCGGTATTTTTAGTTACCAATTTTTGGAGCTATTGGGAAAAAGAATTTGAATATGGCGCTAAAGCAGCCAACGCCGCATTGGCCGCCGGTGTTAAACATTTTGTTTTTAGTAGTCTCGCATCCCCCAGTGTTATTTCAAATGGTGAAATTAGTGTTCCACATTACGATCTCAAATATAAGATTGAAGTATATGCCAGAGAACTTTCAAAGAAGCACCCAGAATTTATTACATCATTCATTTACGCACCATTCTATATGCAAAACTTTAACTCTTTTTTTAAACTCCAAAAATGTGATGATGGAACCTACTCATTAGATATGCCACTCGATCCAAATACTAAATTCCCAATAGATTTAGGTGATGTAGAAGATATTGGTCCAATCTTTATCGGCATCATTAACAACCCAACCAAATATAGTGGCAAAACTGTTGTTTACTCTGGTTCTGCCTTAACTGGTGATCAAATTGCTCAATTTCTTTCAAAATATACCAAAGTACCTGTCAAATTTAACTATATTCCACCAGAAATATTTTCAAAAAACCCATTCGAAGGTGCTGACGAAATTGCAGATATGTTCAGATTTTATTGTAAATATGGTATGTTCCATACTCTTGATAAATCCATCGCTCGTGATATTACCAAAATCACTTCATTTGATGAATTTTTACAAAAAAACCAAATTGAATTATAATCACCTCCAAAATTTAAAATAAAAATAATAATCACTATCTTTTATTATTTATTATTATCTATATTAAATAATTTATCTTTAATTAAATTTGTTATAATAAAAAAAAAAATAAAAAATTATTTTAAAAACTAAAATTAAAAAAAAATCTTATTGCAATTTTGTTTATTTGTGTGAAGGCAAAAAAATTGTATGTAAAAAAAAACCAACGTTTTTTTTAATTTTTTTTTTAAAAAAAATTTTTTAAAAATTTTTTTTTTATTGGCACACGACATTATGGATACTCAAAAAAATTTTTAACTTTTTTTCAGCCTTTTCGAATCGTATCCATACAAAATGGTAATTATCTATTATCTACAAAGAGATATTGAACTTTTGTTTCTTTATCTCTAATCTAATATAACATGTCACATATTAATATATATTAATCTAATCTTTATTAATCTTATAGCCACCAAAAGCTCCAGGTTAGTTTCATAATATAATACAACAAATAAAGAGGATTTTGGATTATTAGTACAGAGAGAGGATTGATAAGATATAGTTAGGATTACAGGATAGTTATTAATATTTTTTTCAAAAAACAGGTAAAAGTAAGCAAATTCAAGCTGCTAAAGCTGCTTCAAAAACCTCATCATCAGGTTCAGCCGGTAGAAAGAAATGGGGTAAAGGTAGATCAAAGGACAAGTTAAACAACGTATGATATCATCTTAAAAAAAAACTACACATAATAATACATATAACAACACCAAAACAACACAAAACTCAATTCAAACAAAAATATTGATTATTTTATTTATATTTTTTCTATCTATAGGCCGTCCTCTTCGATAAAGAAACCTACGCCAAACTCTTAAAAGAAATTCCAACCGCCAAAGTCATCACCACCGCTGTTGTTTCAGAAAGAATCAAAATTAACGGTTCACTTGCCCGTAGAGCTATTAGAGTAAATATCACTTATTATCAAACTAAAAAACCACAAAAAAAGATTATTTATATTAATATCAATTTTTTTATTATTATAGGAATTATTATCAAAAGGTCTCATCAAACAAGTTATCAGATCACACGGTAACGGTGTTTACACTAAAACCAACTAAATTTTGATATATAAATAAAATAGTTTAAAAAATATAAAAAAAAAATTATAAAGTTATTTATTTCTATATGTGTTTCTTTTTTCACCCTCCAAAAATATTATTTATTTGTTTTTTAGAAATATAGTTTTTCATTTTTGCAACTATTTAATATTTAAATTTTTTATTTTAAATATATAAAATAATCAATTTTCGGTATTCAGATTATATTTCTTTTTATTTATAAATATTTATTTCTTTCTATTTATTTAATTTTTTTATTTTTTTTTATTTTTTTTTATTTTTTTATTTTTTTTTTTTTATAAAAATTTTTTATTTTTTTTTTGCAAATATTTTTTATTTTTAATTTTTAATTAAATAAAAGTAATAATGAATATAAATAAATTTTATAGTTTAAATAGAATTTTTAATAATAATTATAATAATAATAAAATAATAACGAGTCAAATATTGTTGGCATCATTTTCATCATCAGGGTCATCTAGCAAAGAAGATTTCGTTTATGAATCATTTCCAAAATTTAATCAAGTATCAACAAAAAAAGATATTGAAAATTTAGAAAAAAGATATGAAAAATTAAAAAAAAGTGAAAATTTTATGGCTAAAGAAATACCAAAACCAGTCGAATATATCTTAATCAAACATTCACTAGATAAAAAACCAATCAATAAACAGATTGTTGGTCTGTTAAAAAAAGATCTTCCTCATGAATCTATAAGATGTCTATTAAAATATTTTGGTGAAACACACGATTACCAGTCCATCGAGTATCAAACTATTTATTTAATATTACACAAATTGGTGGTGGAAAATAAAGATTTAGAGTCTGCAGATAAACTGTTAAGAACTTTTATAAGAAGTTTTAAATCAAAAGAGAATGAGGTTATGGCATTTATGGAACATCTATACAGAAAGAAAGACAAATCCATTAAGGAGTTTATAATCAACAATACTGGGTTTTGGTTCAACTTTCTCACAACAACAGAGTCATATTTAAACATTATGCAAAAGTTTTTACCAGAGTCAGTATACAGGTCTACAGAATACTATAATTTTTGGGTAGAGAGGTTGGCAAGTTCCGATAGACTCTTTTCAAACCATTTCGAAATATTGTGGAGACTGTTTGAGTATATGCTGGATAATAATATAGAGTTGTCAAGGATATCATTAAGTGCATTCGAGACCTACATGTTCAAAAGCAATAAAGAGTTATCAATGGATCAAATTCATCTTATTGAAAAAGCAGAATCAAAGCAACCACCACCAAAAAAACTATACGATGGCGATAGATTTATATTTGAAGATTTAAAAATGAAATTAAAATTTTATCCATCAAATGATTTTGACAAATTCGAACCAAAAAACTCTGCTAAAGGTCAATTGGAAAAATCTATAGGCGACATTGAAAAAAGAAATATATATATTGGTGGAAAATTGTCACCAACAACTGTAGCACTCTATGTAAATTTATTAAGCAAGAAATATCCATTAAAAAATGGTAACAAAGAAACAATAAAAAAATGGAGCTCAATTATGATAAACAGTAAAGATGACAACAATAGGAAAGATAATAGCAATGATAGTCATCTTACAAGTAGATCATCAACATATATAAAAAAAGAATTGGTTATGGCGGTTGGTTTATGTATAAAGCGTTCAGGTGATATCAAGGCATTAAAAACATATGTTTTTGATAACTATTCTCTTTTTGGTTCAATTGGTTTTAAAAACATTATGGACATTATTGATTGTTTCCCTCCAGATGGTCAAGCTAGTTTCATTCAAGATGTTCTCTCATCAAACAGCAATTATTTTTCATTTTTTGTCGACTTTATTAAAGATTTAAAAACAAAATTACCCAATCCACAAGATTTCCCAAAATTAGATACAATCATTTCAAAAGAGAAGGTAGAGGTTTCACCAAAACCATTTTTAGATTTATTTAATACAATTTATATTTTAAATAATAATAATAATAGTAATAAAAATAGTAGTAAATAATAATAGTAGTAATAATAGTAATAATAGAAATGATAAAATTGATAAATAATTTCTATCATTCATTTTTTTTTTTTTGAAAAGAGCTCTTTGTTAAAATAAGTAAAACTTTTTTAAGGGAGTGTACAGATAAATATAGGTGTATAGGTTTTAGATACTCAAATAGCCTAAAAATAAAAATTAATACCAATTTAAATTATTTTAAAATAAAAATAAATTATTTTAAAAAATTGGTTCATTGATAGAGAATAAAAACAACCTTATTTATAATTTTACAAAAAATACTTGTTTTTATTTTTTTTATTTTTTAAATACAAGAACATATTTTATATTTTTTGAAAACTATTTTTATTTATTTTTTTTGGTATTTATAAATATAAAACCATATAAAAATTTTAATTAAAAAGGAAATTATTTAATTATTAATAATAAATTATTTTTTTTTATTTTTTTTTTTTTTATTTTTTTTAAATTTTTTTTTATTTTTTTAATTTATTTTATAAATTACAAAAAAGACTTTTTCATTGTGTCTAAAATATTAAAAATAATATATTATCAATTATAAATAATAATACAATATATAAATATTAATAAAAAATATAAAGTTTTTTTTTTATTGGTTATGAAAAATCTTTAAAAAGACAGAATAAACAATAATAAATATTAAAAATGTTGTTTGGGTTAAGAAAATGGGTAGCAAAGAAAATCACAAATTCTTTAGATACGACATTAATATCAATTAACGAAACATTAAAAACATTTATTGAAGAAGGTATTGTATAGCAAATAAAATTTTTTAATATTTGTTATTTGTTATAATTTGTTTTTTTTTTGTTTATGGACAATATGATAAATTTAAATATTATTATTGTAGAAAAGAAAACAATCGAAGTTATTGTTTTTAATAGTGTTGTTTATATCTTTGTTTTATATATAATAATCATAATCATAATAATTATAATAGTTTTAATATTAACAATTATAACGTTATTTTTAGTTTGGCAACTAATAGCACAATTAGCAAATATTGTTATTGTTGCAGTATTGGGATTGTTTTATAAGCAGGGGTATCAATCATATTGGGAACAAAAGAATCGTATAAAAAGAAAGTCAGCAAAAAAACCAAATACAAGAAAAAAACAATCACCATTTGTACAATTATTAAATGAAGTAGAGCAAGATAGCATAGCATCAACAAGCAATAGTAGTAGTTTGGGTATAGATAGCAGTACAAACTCTACTACCACTACAACTACCACAACAAGTACCAGTTCACCCACTTCACCAGTACTCAAAAGAGTCAGTAGTGGAGGTAAATTAAACACATTAAAAAAATCACCTTCTTTAGAGGCAGCAAATAATAGCAGTAGATTTAAATCAAAGACAAAACCAAAATTAAAAAAATCAAATTTTTGTAATTATTAATCTTTCTTAATATATAAATGTAAAATAGTGTATTAATACTTTTTTTTTTTATTAAATTAGCACGTCAAGATTTTGTACATCATCACGAACAAATTACAACTGGTCTATTAGAGGATATTAGAACTAATTTATTATTATTTTTCGATGCATCATTTGGGTGGTTAAGATCAACAATCTCATCAATTCTAAATAAAATTGGAGGATTCAGTATCAGATCATTCACAGTGTTTTTAATTACATTCCCATTTTATTTCCCATACTATTTATGTAAATATTTTATAATATAAATAATATCAATGGATTCATAATTACTAACACAGAATTAATATAATTTAAAGTTTATATTATTACTAGTCCTTTTATATTATTTTCTAAAATTAGATCATTTATAAAAAGTATTGGTCAAGTTAAAAAATTACCAAATAAAATAATTTCAGGACAGGAGTTGGATATTAGAACAGTTAAAGAGATTATAGAACAGTCAGGATATCCATACGAGAAGCATTATGTTACAACAGAAGATGGTTACATTTTAGAGTTAGAGAGAATTCCAAACAAAAAATCAACCAACGTTTTATATTTACAACATGGTGTATTTGATAATAGTTTTGCTTGGATTGCAACAGGTCCTGCCCAATCTTTAGCTTTTGCAGCTTACGATCAAGGTTATGATGTATTTTTAGGTAATCTTCGTGGTAATGGTGATAGACTACATCAAAATAGTAAAATTTCTTCAAAGGACTACTGGGATTTTTCAATGAATGAACATGCATTTTTAGATATACCAGCTTTTATTCAAAACATTAGAAAAATCAAAATTAAAGAGCTGTATAGTAGCAATAATGGTAATGGAGGCATTAGTGGTAGTGGTAGTAATATAAATACAAAAGTAAATTTAACAAGCATATCAGATGATAAGGCATCCACCTCATCAACAACAAACTCTACATCTACCTCATCAACAGGTTCACAATCAAAAGACAACTCAAGTACTAATGATGGTCAAAACAGCGATGGAATTAATATTAGTGCAATTGCACATAGTATGGGAGCAGGTGTTTTGTTGATGTATATTGTCAGAAGCAGAATGTTAAACAAGTCACATTATCTTTCCAAAGCCATATTATTATCGCCTGCAGGTTATCATAAAGTAGCACCCAAGATTGTTGACATATTAGCACCACTAATTAATATCTGGTTATATTTATATCCACTTCATGTCTTTAGATTCCCTAATCGTAGGTATCAATATACTGTTATAAATAGTTTATTTTATATTTACTCTATAATACTAACAAATATTTTAATTTAGAAACCATAAAAGTTTTAGTTGCAAAAATCTACCACGATGTTATGAGTAACCTTCCTGCTAAAGATCTTTTGGTTTATTTAGTTTCAAGATATCTTTTAGGTGGTGATATGCGAAACCATCCATTAACAACTGTACATAATATTGCCTATAATACTTTTAATGGTACATCAGTTGGTATTTATAGACATTTTTGGCAAATTAGAAGATCAAAAAAATTTGAAGCTTTTGATTATGGACCAAAAAAGAATTTAGAACTTTATGGTACCGTGGAACCATTAAATATTTTAAGTCATTATAATTTGTAGGTATAAATAATATTTTTTTTTTTTAAAATTCATTTATTTATTAATTATGCTTTTTTTTTTTTAAAGAATTGATATACCAATTCATTTTGTAATGGGACTAAAGGATAATTTAATTGATCCAGTTAATATCATCAAACACTATACAACATTAAAGAGATACAACCCTCAACTAGCATTTTTAAAAGCAAGCAAGAATGGTCATATTGAATTTACTCTTGGTTTAGATGATCAAATTAGATCCTATATTTTAAATGTTTTACATATTCCAACAAATTCTAATTCCAACACAAATACAAATACAAATAGTCAATATAATAATAAACAAATAAATGAAATAACAACAAAACCAAAATCACCCAACTCTTCACCATTAAAAAAAAGTAGCAGTTCAAAAAAAGTAAATACTTTTTTTGAAAATTTAAATATAAATAAATAGAACCTCCTATTAGTTAAAAACTATTGATTAAATTTAAAATTAATAGTATCAAAAAAAAAAAAAGATATTATGTACAATTATTTTAATATAGCGATTAAAAATTATCATTATCGTTTATCGTTTTTGGATCATCTGGAAGATTTTACAAAAATGGATAATCAAAAAATAAATC